AAAAAAAAAATCTCTTCCGGGGATTCTCACAGGCAGCAGGGTTGAGACTCACAGCCCCTTGTCGGCTGACTTGTAATGACTTTCTCGGGGAGTCTGTGAGTACTTCCCCCAAGCTTGCAGGGACCGGCACCTTTCTGGTTTTCCTAGTTTTCTCTGGACCCTCTTTTATGGTATCTTCCAGGGTCATCTGTCCACCTACCTAGTGTTGACATTCTTCAGGCTTCAGATCTCTTTGTCTTCTTCCTCTGTGATTACTTTCTACTTCTGCAAAGAGTTACAGTCTCGGAAACCCACAGGGGCAGTTCTAACCCAGTCCTAGAGGGTGGCTACAGTCGGCATCGATTCAATGGGAGTGAGGTTTTTTGAGTTTCTACTCCCTGCCTGGCTTCCCTTTCCATGGTCTCACGTCCCACGTGTATCTCACTGTGTCTCAGCTCTCCATTTCCAGCGGGGCTTTCCCTACTGTGTGGGCAACTGACTTCGTTCCCCAGAGCTGTGGAACCAGTGAGACAAACAAGGAAGACCTGAGAAGAATCCATCCATTTGAATTGTGGTGCTGGCAAAGAATACTCAAGTGTCAGGGACTGCCCGAAGGACAGACAAACCTGTCTTGGAAAAAGTACGGCCAGAGTGCTCCGTAGCGGCAAGGAGGATGAGACTTCGTCTCACGGCCTTTGGACGTGTTGTCGGGAGAGACCAGTCCCTGGAGAAGGACATCATGCTTGGCAGAGTGGAGGGGCAGCGGGAAGAAGGAAGACCTGAAATGTGATGGACTGACACAGGGAGGCGGCCATGGGCTCAAGCAACAGGATCATTGAGAAGAGGTGCAGGGCCGGGCCGTGTTTTCAGCTGCTGTGCTTGGGGTTGCTGTGGGTGGGAGTGGACTTGTTGGCACCTATCGACAAGAACAACGAGGTGGCTTAGAATGAGCGAGGCGGCTTCTCTCACCGTCCAGGAAGCTGAAAGTCTGAAATCGGGAGTCAACAGGGCCACGTCCGTTCAGAAAGTGCTAGGGCGCAGCCTTTCGTACCTCTTCTATTTCGTCGTCCTCTGGATAGCTCTGGTCCTGTGGTCGCCTCCCTCCAATCCCCTCCGCATCTTCACTTGAGAGTCTTCCACCTGCGTCTCTTTCTGTTTAGTCTCCTCTTCTTATCAAGATGCCATCAGCGCTTAGAAGGGCTCACTAACTCCAGTACGACCACACGCTAACTGAACTCATTGTCACTGCAAAGACACGATGTCCAAATCTAGTCATATTCCTAGCGACTGAGCCTGATGACGGAATAGGTCTTCCTGGGTGCACAAGTAACCCGTGACAGCGCCCATCAGTTAGATGGTGATGCCGGACGAAAGGTGATAGACAGCCACGATCTCTGTGGGCCCAGGCTGCTTCCCTGCCCAGCCATCCTCATTGCAACACCAGCTCCCCCGATGCCCGAGAATCTTCAGCTGTTCCCGACTTTCACCCTCCTCTCCAGCCTGCGAGACTCTTTCTTCTCCAGGTCGCTTGAATCGGCTCCATTTCTCTCCTGTCCAATTTTACACCCTGGCGCGGATGAGCATTCTTTCTCACTGAGCACCGTGCCTGCCCCTAGCGTCTGCCCTCATGGTCTCTTGTTGCCTCGTGCTCTGCTTCATCCTCCTGCTGTCCTGATGTTGTTAGGGGCCGTCGAGGTGATTCTGACTCAGAGCAACGGCATGGACCACGGAAGGAAACCCTGTTCGGTCCTGGGCCACCCTGGCAGCCAGTGCTGTATGTTGGAGTCCATTGTTGCGGTCACTGTGGGTCAGTACATTTTGTCGAGGGTCCTCTCCTGTCTCACTGACTCTCTCCGAGGTCTGATGTCCTTCTTCGGGGCCTGGTGCCTCCTACAAACATGTCCCTAGCAGGTAAAATAAAGTCTCAGTGTTCTTCCTTCTCGGGAGAGTTTTTCTTGTACTTCTTACAAGAGAGATTTGTTAGTCTTTCGGGAAGCCTGTGGCATATTGGATATTCTTTGCCAACCCCCTAATTCAAAGGCATGTATTTTTGCCATGTACATGAGGTGATTCCCTACCCCGGTCTACAAAGTGGCACCTTTGCTCTTTACCACTCTGCGGAGAGCTTGTGCCGCAGACATCCCCAACGGGATACGTCGTTGGAGCTCTTGAGTGCTGGTTCCGTGTATCCATTGTGGATCCGAGTCAAATGGAATCTTTGAAAAGTCAATATTTTGTTAGTTTGTCCTGGTGTTGCCTACTGGCTCTCTTGTGAGGATTTTTGTTTTCTTTTGTCGCTGTGTAAGCTGTAGGGAAGGCTGTCTTTCCTTTCCATCTGTACATACTTCAATTCCCCTTCACTTTCAGCTGTAATGATGTTTTATAAATCCGACACACACCCCCAAACGCCCAACACACACACACACACACACACACACACACACACACCATTTAAATCTTTCAAAAGCGTCCCTTTCCCCTTAGAACAAAGTGACCAAGAAAAGAGAACCAGATTTATGTAGTAGAGAGGTGGGCTTGGGTAGGATGTGAGGGTGGATGGGGCGGAGGTAAGCATCACCCTGGGTTTCCGATTTTCCATGCACTTACTTGGCTCTCCCTGGGGTAGTGGCTCCACGGTCTGTGTGCTTGATTCTTCCTTTGGGATGAATCCTGGGAAGAGCAGTAAGATCTAGGTGACGTGCAAGCCCTGGAAGTGTCTGGCCTCAACCTTGGGAAGGGACGAGGACCCACACCGAGCTCAGGCTTTGCCTCCCAGGCTAACCGGGCACGACTGCACACACTGCTCCCCTCCTCAGAAAAAGACACCGATGTGACTATTTACCGTCAGCCTACAGAAGACATAGTACCCCTCTGGGTGCGACCGGCGCAGTGGGAGAAGGCCCATTAGGCCCCAGAGTGCCCTGTTAGCTTATCCTATTTGGGCTGCGGTTTACTTATCTGAAAAGATTATACACGTTGCTAGTGTAAACGATCCCTCTGCACGACTCAGAACACCTTGGGGTCAGGCAATCCTATCTCACGCATATAAATCTCCATCGCACCTGGTACAGGTAGCTTTCCAGTCAACTCTCTGGTGATCTAGTCAGTGAAACGGGGTGAGCCACGAGGAAGACCTGCTGCTGGGGGCTGGGTGTAGAATGGAGGGAAAAGGGCAGATCCAAGTATGTCAAACACCAGAGTTCCAAACTCAAATGCCACTGTCCTCCCCCCGCCGCCAGGACAAGAGAAAACGACGGATGAAAGTTTCGTGTTCAGAGAGGCTGTTCGTGTGAGTCGAATCTCAGCTTTGGGGGGCTCTTTAGAGCCACTCGCAGGGGGAATTGGCACCACAACATTGCCATAGAAAGAAATAAAAGACAATGAATAAAAACCTCTTTAAGCGTGGTAAGCCAATGTGCTCTGCAAGCAGAGAGGGCCTTGCGAAACAACAGGGAGATGCACTTCTGGTTTCACAAGGCACTCTTTAGAAAGACGCCTTGGAAAGAGTGCTCTGGCTGACCTTGGCATCTCCTGCCAGCAATGTGGTATTCAATGCTCCTAGTTCTGTGAACCCGAGACTCTTAATCTAGTCAAGACTGTGAGGTTCGCTGTATAATTAGCCTGCCTCTAAAAGGACCAATCCAACCACCCCCCCCAAGTTCATTTCTCCTGCTTTTCAAAAATTAAGAAGATGAAAACCAACTTTGTAAATGAAACCAGTGGAATCTCTTGAGAGAAGTGCAAGGGTGACAAGGTTGCGCAATTGTGATGGAAATCCAGTAAAGGAGTGTGGGACCAGATTGATGGATGGTGTGGTAGTTATATAATCTTTTGTCAGTTTGAAAAGGTTAAGAGTGTAGGGGTGGAGTCTAGCCTGTTAATCAGGAAATAGCGAATGAGGCCTCTGTGTGGGCATGACCTCCTCCTGAGGATTCTGGGAACTCCGGTATTCCTCCTTGGAGGCGGGAGACACTTTCTCTCTATGCTGACTTCCTGAGAGACACTTGACTGACAAGACACATGGCATTACACTGATAGACCCCGTGCCCTGGGAACTGGAGGAGCCACCTGCCAGTGCTGAGATGCCTCCACCACCACTGGATCCACAAGACTTCCAACCCACTGGCCTGTGATCTTCCTGCATTCAGCATCATTGCATGTGTTGCATGAGCCTGAAGAGGACTTTATATGTTGGTATCAGACATATGGGCTAACATCGGGCTTATGGACTTGATCTGGACTGGGCTGGGATATTTTGTCAATATTCAACTACTCTCGTATATAAACTTCTTTCTTATTCACATATGAGTGCCCGTGAATTTGTTTCTCTAGTCTACCCGGACTAACACAGATGGAAAAGCCCAAAATCTGATGGAATTCTCAGCTTAAGGTTCTTCAACCTGGAGACAAAAATCATCTCTCTCCCTTTCTTTCCCTGTGCATCGAAAACCATGGACCCATAGGACCCTCAGGACCTGGAAGGCCTGCAAAACTCCTCTAGCCCACACCCACCCACCAGGCTCCTTTCAAGATGGTCCTGTACACCCGCTGTACGAGAGGAGTGCTGATCGGTGTGGGAACATCTTCATAGAAAGGAAACCCATTGCACAACAAAGCAGTGTACCCCCCTCCCCCCAAACTGGGTTAATTGAGCTGTGAGAAAAAAACTTTTCATGGCATCAAACAGATTTTTCCCTTTAAATCGCTATCCATTCATCTATCTATCCCTCTTGTCTACCTACCCATTCACCCATCTATCCCATTTTTGTATGCTCTATGAAAATTTGCGAATGGAAATTCTACAATCACAATAGTCTGCTTCACAATGGATCCTGGGGACAGTGAGGCCATGGGAGCATTTTGTCCTAGTGTGCCTGGGTTGCCGACAATAGTAGCAGCACCAGCACCAGCGATGCACCGTGAAATATTATAGGTGCATTTGTCTCCCCTCTGTTTGCTTTCTCTTCTCTGGAACTACAGAGAACAAACATGGCCCATCAGGAAGTCCACGAGTGTCCGGAGCCTCAGCTTCCCATCATTGTCTTAGGAAGACTCTGGCAAAATGGCCCCTGGGATCCTGTATGCAGCAACCTGTTCAGAGATCCTCACAAGAAACTGGTGCTGATGATCTTCAAGGGGTGGGAACGAGGGAGCACCTCTTACTCAGTAGTCCCCGATCGTTTTAGGGAAATCCTGGTCCTGAGAACTCAGATTTAGCATGGAAATGTTACAAAGGGTCATAAGGACATCCCAAGGGCCCTGTGTCTCTGTCTCGGTTCTTCATTGTGCTCAGAAGACCGAGGGCATGAACGACGTTCATTTCTTAAAGGCTATTTGCTTTGCTGGCTTCCCAAATGAACATATTCTTTATCACACGATTAAGATGCAAGACTCTTGGGGAGAGAAAGACAATCTTGCTCTTGCACATTCAGATTAATGGTGAGATTTGAGTTTAGTCTGGCGCAGGCATTAATCCTTTGTATTGTCTACGGCGAGTCACGTGCCAACCCGCTAGTGGATCTCAATTCTCTGTGAACAACGTTAGCAGGGTGGGCAAGCTGGTCTCTGAGTGCAAAATATTTGTGATTTATATGTGTAAGCATCTTGTGTTTTTATGACTCGATTGCTACTTACTGGTCAAGCTGTGCACTTTGCTCTGTACCCTAAACAAATGACATGCTGGCGGGGTGTGTGTGTGTGTGTGTGTGTCATCACTCTGTTTGTACCCCGGGGTTTCGGCACCCTGGAGTGTTCGGAAGAACTGGAATCCCGGATGCTCTGTTACTTCAGTTTAAAAGAAACAGGGACCTGACATCCAGGAATTCCGAGCCTCATCCTCCCGTCCTGGAAACCGATCCTTCTATTTGTGTCACTCTCATTTTGTGCGTGACACACTCAGATCAATCACGTTCATCCAAAAGCCAAGGTTGAAAGTATGTGCTCAGGTGAGGCTTGGTGTTTCTTAGACTTGGTCGTTATAGGAAGGGCACATTCAAGAACACTTGTATTCTGTTGTCAGGAAGTACGGGGTGGTGTGGGGAAATACAGACAAGGCAGAAGACTGGTCCCAGGTCTATTAATCTCCAGCTGGGTGACCAGGGTGGCTCACCTACCTTCGCTGACCCTCAGTGTTTCCCTGTGTGACACTGAGGTCATCAAGGTCCTCCCATCTTTGCCTCAGTATCCCAGGAAGCCCCAGTGAAACAAATGAATATACAATTCCCTCAAAATGCAGATCCCAAATCAAACCATGCCCTGGCTCAGTGGATTACCTACTCACGCCGACCCTACACAGGGTTTCTGAAGCTACCCATCTTAACGGGAGCAGGCAGCTTTGTCTTCCTTCTGCAGAGTGGCTGGTGGCTTTGAACCACTGAGCTTGTGGTTAGCAGCCCGATGCTTACCCAACAACACCATGAAGGCTCTTTTCCCCAAAGTCTGAGACGTGCTACAAAAAGAAAGTCGAATTCCTTCGTGACCATCTTTGCTTGGCCATTTCACGGAGATGAGGGCCCAAAGAAATACTGGTTCTGAACAATTTCCATGGCAGCAAAAAGTAGAACCATCAACACTCACTGAGCGCTTACTCTGGGTCAAGCAAGTACTATCTGCCATTGACCCTGTGAGGTAGGTGCCACGAGGAGCCCATTGTACAGATGAAGAGACTGATGGCAAGAAACCCGCGCAGAGGGAGTGGCCGAGGGGAGCTTTGGACCCTGACAGACAAGCTCCGGGGCGCTTCACCTGGCCATCTGCATCTCACCCAGCTGTGGTCAGCATGGCTACAGCACCTCAGGCACACGGGCCACTGAAAAAGCAGGCTTGGAAGGGCCCGCTGGGACTCAATCCAAGTAGAGATAAGTCGTCACACGAGTCCAGAGCCCCCTGCCCCTGAGACTTGCTCTTGCTCCTCCTTGCACCAGCCACAGCTCCTTTGGCTTCAATGTGTCTGGAAATCACTAGCCTGGCATTTGCGCAAGAGCGGCACCACATGGCTCTTAGACCCTAACCTGGTGTGAGACAGACACCAGGTGGCCTTTCAGCTCCTTGGTTTCTTCTCTCAGTTGCCCCCCACCCTTAACCCCATGCTCTTGTTAGGATGGCTAGCCCTGGCCTGAGACCTGAGACCATAGAGCTGTGTAGGACCCTTGGGGAGCTTCTTGTTCTGTGCTGCTGGGTCGGGGAAGGCCTGTCTGAGAATGCCCAGGGGCGTATGAGCCCCTGGCTCTGGACAGGAATCAATGTCCTGGTAAAGTCACAGAAGCTCCTCTTTCCAAATGGCTCCACTCCACCGCTCAGTGTAGGGCAGTTGTTGGCACGCCGGCTGCCTTCTCTTACAGAAACGTTAGCTCCATGGTGAAGTTTCCAGGCCAGTGAAGCGTGTTTGACTCAAATAGAGCTCACCATACTGTGAAACAAGCCGGCATAGGGATGGTTCTGAGGAAAAGTCACCCACTTTGATCTCAAATCATTAGGAGAGGTGCCCCCAGCTTCTTCGGATACAGCAGAAGCAGCCAGGCTAGTGCTGGTGGTTCTTGCCCTGACTCAGAGGGCCCTAGCAGGTGGGATTGGGGGGTGTGCCTGGGGGACTGGGTGTGTCGGAGACAGTGGCGTTGCTGATGGATTTTTTTTTTTCTTCAGGGAAGGTGTAGGATCTGTGAAGACCGAAG